GCTGTGGCCCCAAGGCATGGCTTCTCATTGACCGCCAGGGTCAGCTCTGGTGGAGATAGGACTGGGAGTGCAATTGTTTTGCAACAGTAACATTCTTTCACAGGCTGTTTTCACAGCTCTCCCTCTGTTGAGGAAAGTGCTGCGTCATACTCTCTTCTAAACTACTCCCTTCTAAATGCTTTAGAATTGATTTTCCCTGACCAGTAACCCCTCCAAGGGTCCCCCCAAACCAGGTTGGAAAATCCTAGGAAGAGGCTTGGTGCCGTCATCTTTTACACCATAGGGGATGGCATGGCATGGTTTCTCTCTCTCTCTTGGCACCAGGCAGGGTTTCAGAGGGAACAAAAGCAAGGACGCGGACAGGAACCATCAACCCCCAGCGGCATTCACATGGATCTTCATTGCACTGTGGAGGCATCTCATCCCACCATCTTGTGGTGGCCAAGAGCCGGGTGATCTGCTAGAATTTCTGCACTATTTTATGGCAAGAGAAAGCACAGTGGGGGGACGGGAGCCCCAACCTTGGCCCTAATGAGTAACTACAATAATGATACAACACCAATCAATGTCTTTTTTTGTGGGGCTAAAGTTTAACCTGAATCAGTCACTTATTCTGGATATATCAGGTGATTAATAGCTACTTTACTCAGCATATGGACCTAATGTTAACAGCTTCTTTGCAAGGAAAGAATGATCTACAGGACTTTCTTTTTACCATTTCTTTCATTTCGTCACCTTAAACTAATTCCCTGAAGTGGCCAAAGTCCAAAGCAGGTGTGACTTCTGTTCAGCTGACTACACAACTTCAAATGCTGGGGTAGAGTGAAACTCGGGTACGTGGGGTACAGTGTTTGTGGATGACATTTTGGTTGTTGTTAAAACACCCACTTAATGTGCCTGGTTTTGGGGGGGTGACACCAGGGAACAAGACACAAACCACTACTGGGAACTAAGATGCAGTCGATTAAAAGCCAGGGAAGAAGGGGATTGCAAAGTGCCGTGAACCGCCCCACCTGCCACGTTCACTGAGTATGAGCGCGACTGTGCAACGACACGGTTTGCTCTGAGTGCTGAGAACACAAAGTACACACACTTGAGAAGTTCATTCCTCTGTGTAACTGGCTCCCCTGAGGTCTAATTCTACCTCCTAGGACAGCTGGAGTGAAAGAGCAGTATAAAGTAAACAGACAAGGAAATAAGGAAATGTCTTCGGGGAGATATTAAATAAACAAGGCCTAGGGGGAAATGCAGAGCATAATAAGGAAAGAGAAGAGGGGAATGAGAATAGCTGTGGCCCCTGTCTGCAGTCTAGTCCTCAAGCTTACTCCTGTTTCTGTCAACAGACGTGTAGTACGTCATCATCTCAGTATCCTGCCCCCAACCTGTAAGTTTGATATCTAGGTAGGGGAGTTCCCAGCTTCTGTGCCTCACCTACTGTGGGCGGAGCTTAGCATCCAGGCTCTAGGAAAAGACTGGGGAGAAGAAGGCAGGAGAAGACTTGGAGGCACATGGAGCAGCGAGAGAAATGAAAAAGAAGCTGCCCTTACTTCTCGACCTTGGACTTGTACCAAGGACCCGGGGGACATGGAAGGAGACAGTTGGAAGGGACGTGGGTGAGAGAGCCGTGGGGAGGCTGACAGTGGTGCCTTTATCTCGACTCGCACTGATTCTGCTCCTTTCCTTCCAGATTGCATGGCCCCTTCTGGCCCTTTGCTGCTATTCTCTGCCAGCAGGTGCCTGACTTGTGGCGAGCTTTCGGGCCTCAGCTGACCGGCTTGGGCTAACCCTGTTTGGCTTGGCATTTACCCATGAGGGATGGGTAATTTGGGTTGCTCCATAATTTGGGGTGCTTCAGTTGGAAACAATTCTTTCTCTTCTACTGCACACTGGTTTTATTAAGCTTCTTTTTATTGAAGGTCTTATGCATAAGAATTTGTTTTGTCTAGACACAGCAGATGGCAGAATCCACATAGAGCAGGCATGTTTGGGGGCCCTGGGGTGCTCCTTATTCTGCCCACTAACAGTCAGACCTAGAATCACATCATCAGATTATTCACTTATTAATTTGTGGGAGGTTAGACAATTACCCAAATGTCTTCAGGTTTAGTTTCCTAAATCTTTCCTCACAAAGCCAGTTTATTTAATAGTAGATTACAGATAATACCTCCTGTGTGCCAGGGACAACAGCGTGTGGTCATTATCCATTCAGATATACGACCTTCTGAATCCACATAACAGCCCACCAGGCAGGTGATTTTCCTGGTTCAGACTGCTGTAAACTGGTGGCTTCTGAGCAACCAGCCTGTATTTCTCAGTAGCGGAGGCTGGCAGTCCAAGTTCAGGGGTCAGCGCTGTGAGCGCCCTTTGCTGGTTGAAGAAGACTGCCCATCTGTCCTTGTCTCTTTACTAAATGGAGACCAGAAGTGAGCTTTCCAGTGACTCTCACAGGCACGGATCCATCATGTGGCTCCACCTTCAGGAACTTCTAACCCTCCTTACCTGCAAAGAGGTCCCCTTCTCCTAACACCAGCACACAGGGGAAGTCGGGACTAGGATTTTTCAGCATATGAATTTGAAGACACAAGCATGTAGTCCATAGCTGTCTTAATACAGGACAGGGAGGCACAGGGAAGCCATGTAGCTTGCTCAAGGCATGCAGGCAGTAGCTTGTGGGTGAAGCCTGCCGCTGGCTGGCTTGGGAGCAGCAGTCTCCTGCTAGGCTTTCACCTTCTACTCCATCACTTACTGCGGATTTATCAAACCCCTGTATTGTCATGCAACTGTGGCAGGTAACAAGATGCAAGGGGTGAGCAGAAGCTACCTGGTTCTTAGTCTCCTAGGGGAGTTTATGGCCATTAGGCCAGTGGCCTTCCCAAGTTCTAGCCCTTACCTCTCCCCCATTATTCCGAGTCCATTAGTCTTGCAGGCAACAAGGGCCTAGAGCCAGAGAGCTGAGGCCAGAACTGGTCTCCCTGAGTCACCTGGATGGCTGGGGCGGGCAACACCTTGTTTTTGGCTCCTTCGTTCTCTCCGGGCTTGGCTTAAAATGGAGCATGTGTCCTAGCCATGTTTCCGGGCCTACCCTGGGTCATTTTTGTGCCGTAACCTAGCCCTGCTGGCCTTTCTGGCCTCCCAGTGCCCGCTCAGCGTCCAGCCCCGCCACGGGGACCCACTCCCGGTGGGTCTGAGGCCCTCGCAGCCTCCAAGCCTGGTGCACCCACGCGCTCTGGGCCGCGAGTGGGGAGCCCGGGCGGCCTGGCGGGGGGCCCCGGTTGAGCTCGGCGTGGCCGCAGCCATTGTGCTGGCGCCTGGGTCTCCAGGCCCGGTGGGCACAGCGGGTGGAGAGCAGCGCTGAGCGCCCCTGCCACGACATCCGCTCCCGGCGATGAAGCCTTCGCGCATCGCCTGGAGAAACAGGGCGGCAGGACCCGGCGTCTTCTTTCCGCACGCGCCGCGCGCGGGCGAGCAGAGCGCAGCGCCCAGCCC